AACCTTCAATGATGCTGGATCTGTTACCCTAGATCTTGATCATCTTTTCATACTTGTTTAGTGTTTAGGAAGAAATTTCACAAACTGGTAAAGAAAGAATGAAAAGAGTTTGGGTGTTGGCTGATGAAGACGAATGGGTTTTTCTCAAGGCTGGTCATCTTGTACCTCAAGGCTCATCTCTACTCCAGTATTTGCTGTACTAATGTAGCTCCTGCCCACATGCAAAAACCTCTAGCTCAAGGTACGTGATACTTCCATCACAGAAAGACACAATTAAGGGCAAGTTAATTCCCTAAAGTCTGAGATTCAGAGTCCAACCGGTAGATTTTCCTTACACAAATCATTTATTGAGTAAAATGGGAGCTGCAATGGCATGTGAAAGAAAAAATGGAGGGAGAGGGAAGAAAGGGCGGGCATGTTTCCTGTGAAACAAATACAGCCTGCTTGCAATTCAGGATTATTTAGTATTCTTGGCATATTAAACACATTAGATATGCAGTAAGGCAGATGAGGGAGAAGTAACCGAAGTTCAAGGAGTTGTCCAACCTGCCCAGAGTGTTCTTTTAAATATAGGCTTTTGTTCCTCAGAAAATGGAACAAGTCCTCAGTTTTTACAAGAGTGCTTCACAACATGTGCAATCATTACTAGGTAAAGAAGATTCCTCAGTTATTCTCTCCGACCTGTCACTGTCACTTGTTCAGTTGGCATTATGAATTCAGCAGCATCTTCAAAGGCTTTTCAAGACACCACCTGTGAACTAATTATGCTGAAGATGAGAGATCTGAACATACCCACAGCCCCTGGCAATGGCTGACAAACAGAGACCAACCGTGGCCACACGTTTGCAACTTTTCCAGCTAATTCTCCATGCTTTAGGCATTGTAGCTTCAAATGGAGGGAGTCAACTCCCAAATGTAAATGGGGCTCCAGCAGAGCGATGCATAAGTACAACACTACAGTTCTCAAACACAATGTTAGGTTTGCTTTAGTCATAAATGTGTTAAATAGTTTGCCCTCTGTTGTTTGGAATTGTAAGGATTATTTTAAAATCAAAGTGGGTTTTATAGATAGTCACTGAAAGACATTTTGGGGAGGTTGTCACCTGCCTTATGAGCATCAGAGAATGACACAAATTTTTGTGCTGGAATTTTACATGTGCATCTTATAAATAATTTTTAACAATAGAAGGACAAAGGAATTATTAATTATACTGAAGATGAGAAGGAAAAACTGTGAGATGAAAGGTCTTTTGCATGTATCCATTTCAGTGCTGACAGAGTCTGAACACTGTGAGAGGAGTTGGAACCTCACCGTCAGTGAGTTCTGCACATGCTTAGCTGGCAGTTACTAATATTATCCTTTGGATAACTTGAGCTTAAGCAACACTGGAAAATAGATGTCTGTTAAGAAAAGTGACCTTTAGGAGTCAGAGACAGCAGTAACTCCAGGTTTAAGCATCTCACAATGTCGGTGACATTTTCGTTTCTTGCTACTCCTTCCATATTCCTCCTTCCTTTAAGCAACCTGCTCTAGTGGCAGATGTCCCTGCCTATGGCAGCAGGTTGGAACTGGATGAGCTTTAAGGTCCCTTCCAATCCAAACCAGTCTGGGGTTCTATTCTATATCCAAAAATACATATGCATATACTTGCATAAACTAATATCAATGAAAAGTGTTCAAAAATGTGTTGAGAATAGGACAGTTACTGTGTATTCAGAGTTGGAGTAAAATCTCAACAGAAGGTGATTTCAAGATCTTCAGGATTACTATAGACCCTTCACTTTCTACAAAAAGTAAGTAACTTCCCAGTTTGGGCTTTAAGAAAGACCCTGGAAAACTCTTCCTATGATGATAATATTGAGCATCCCATCAGTCATTTCCCTTGATTTATAGGAGACCCATGGCCTGCAATTCTCCCTCATCTATATTCAGTTAAACATTCAGTCAGTTTGGGTTTTTTCATAGAATCGTTAGGAGTGGAAAAGACCCTAAGATCATCCAGTTCCAACCCCCCTGCCATGGGCAGGGACACCTCACACTAAACCAGGTCACCCAAGGCTCTGTCCAACCTGGCCTTGAACACCACCAGGGATGGAGCATTCACAACCTCCCTGGGCAACCCATTCCAGTGCTTCACCACCCTAACAGGAAAGAGCTTCTTCCTTAGATCCAATCTAAACTTCCCCTGTTTAAGTTTGAACCCATTGCCCCCTGTCCTGTCACTACAGTCCCTAATGAAGAGTCCCTCCCCAGCATCCCTATAGGCCCCCTTCAGACACTGGAAGCTGCTCTGAGGTCTCCACGCAGCTTCTCTTCTCCAGGCTGAACAGCCCCAACTTCCTCAGCCTGGCTCCATACAGGAGGTGCTCCAGCCCCTGAGCATCCTCGTGGCCTCCTCTGGACTTGTTCCAACAGTTCCATGTCCTTTTTATGTTGAGGACCCCAGAACTGCACGCAGTGCTCCAGGTGAGGTCTCACGAGAGCAGAGCAGAGGGGCAGGATCACCTCCTTCGACCTTTTTCATAACCTTTAGCTCACTATTGGAACACTGGAGAAGGATCTGCCTCCTTCCAGCAGGGAAACCTTCTCCAGGATAAACACCCTCCAAAGTTGCCATGAGGTGAAGTTGGAAGTGACAATAGTAATTAACCAATGACCTACAAAGCCTAGATTAAGTAAGGAGGAGGCTGATGCTCTGTATTCTGAGTTTTCTGCCTCCACCTCCTTCCCCAGCCTACTGCCTTCTCTGCTGCAGCACCTGAGAGACTTAGTTTCTGACCCTTTGGATTCCCTTTAATAGCCTTTTCAGCTGCTTAACTTCGTAGCAAGTGATGGTATCATCTAGTGTTTTACCAGACTATCCATTCTGAGAGCTTTTCTTTAAACAAAACCCCCTTCATGTTGTCTTTCAGGGAACAGATGCAGTTTTTCAACTGCATACTGACTTCAGAGTCCTTTCCTCTGTCATTCCAAGTTGGATTCAGTTTGCATCTATTAAAACTTCAGCTTCTTCCAAACTTTTCATCTGTTGTGTCCCATATTTTCAATTTTATGCTGGAAAAAGACCTCTGTTCTGAGAATTAAAGCAGGGATCACTATAAAAGGGTGCTAAGCATTTCCATCCTGCCCCCAGAAATACATGTAATTTTACTCATTTATCATATATCACTGCAGACAGCAAGAATTCAATATTACTTGATTACGTGATAATATCACTTGAATATCAGGTTTTTGAAGTGAGAAAACACTGTACTTCTGTGTTGTAGCGCTTACCTATGGAGAATAAACCCCAAAATATTACTAGAGTCCATTCCAACTGTAACCATCCAGCGTAAACCATCATTCCCTGAGCAGAGCTTGGAACAATATCAAGCTAAAGGGACTTTTCAACCAATTACAAACCCCAGCATTAAATGACACATGGACCAAGGTTCTCCTATCACTACGTTGCACAACTGCTATAATATCCACAACTCTCTTTGTTTTCCTGGCTTCTGTTAGCTACAAAAATAATTTCTCAGCTTGTTTTCAGCTGCTTCATAGCCCAAAGCAACCGTGAAAAATCACAAGGATAGGGACTTCTATGACAAACACTATCAGCTTCTTGCAGGTTAAGGAAGTCCATCCCTCCCGTCCTACTCCTGCGGCTGCTGTGTTTCGTGATGAACGCCGGCCATGCATAAATTGCTCAGTCGTTCTTTGTGAAGGGCTTTGCACTGCAGGCATAGCAGATCCTCGGCACGTAGGAGAGACAGAGTGCTCTGGAGAGCTCACTGCTGAGAAGAAGGCAGACAGGCAGCGCCCGTGCGTCTGCAGAGGACACCGGAGACTGCCCTTCCTAAGCCCTTTAATTAAAAGCACTGAAGATTTATACACTTGTCTCTCTGCTCCTCTCAGGTGGGTGGAGCAGCCTGCTGCCTCGCTTTCCTTCCACAGCTCTGTTTAATCTGTGTTTTTAAGTAGGGAGTACGTTACTACTTCCTAACAGCTTTACCTTCATGTATAGGATATGCCAGGGGAAAATTCTCCGTGAGTTTGTCTCCCAGATGATCCCCATAATGCTTCCCAGACTCCTACTGGGGATGACCTGAGCATCACCTATTGTACCACGTTATGCGCATAGAAATAATATCAGCCTGTTGGGTCTGATGCTGCAACTGCATCCCAGGGAAGGGCTTTAAAGTAGAACAAAGGAAGCTAGAGCATGGTACATTAGATTCATGACTTCCCCTTTGGGAAATGGTTGGGAATATTCACAGAATCATAGAAGAGTTTGGGTTGGAAGGGACCTTCGAAGGTCGTCTACTCCAGCCCTCTGGCAATGAGCAGGGACATACAGGCTGAACTGAAGGAATTCTTTAACACCTCTGGGCAGGGCAGCCTCTGTTTGATAGCCTGTGCCAGGCTGGCAAGCTCCACTGAGGTGTCCTCTGGGAAGCAGCAATGGGAAGCCCTGAGAAAATGGGAAGTCAGCACCAATGCCAGGACCTCTTACCGCCTGCCAAGCCAAGGGCAGGCTTTCCAGCTCTCCAGGAACTCCTTCTGGCACCCTAAAATGAGAACCACCTCATGGTGAAGTCTTAGATCCATCCTACGAGTCATTCATCAATGAGACAGCAAGAAGCCTGTAAGCCTCAAACCAACGTTCATGTTCACAGCAACACCAGAGCAAGGTCAGGTTATCACAAAGAACAAACACAGCAATGGCACCGCGCGGCTGCATTGCCCTGCGTACATCACCCTGGGGCAGAGGCTGGATGGAGGAAAACAGGGATGTGGGGAGGGCTTTTCTGAAAGGGGAAACTTGAGAAGAGAACAAAATATGGAGCCTGGAGGGAAAGACAAACCAATGGATGCACAAAGACGGAAGGAGACAGTCCAGCACCACCACAACAAAGCTGCTTGTAATCAATTCCAGTTATTGATATGGCAATGCATCGGTATGAGTCCCTGAGAAGAAGTACCCAGACATACTTCGTGAATGTATGTGGATACTGACCTGGGCTTGAGACAGGACTAGAGGTAGTAGGCTCAATAATTTCTACAAAAAGGGAAAAGGAAAAAAAAAAAGAACATTCGGGAGTTAATCACACATGGAAGACAAGTACAGAATGAGACAGCAAACAGTCATGCAACAGACACGACACGTTCATCACGAGACCGGGCTGGCCATTGCAGGCCGGTGACAAACATGCACCAGCCTCCTGTGCCCATGAGCTGCACATTAGCATCTGTCTTTTCCCAGCTGTGTTACTCATCTTCACCATACACAACTCATGTGTCACCATATACAACTCATGTGTCACCATATACAGCTCCCATGTCACCATATACAGCTCCCGTGTCACCACATACAGCTCCCGTGTCACCATATACAGCTCCCATGTCACCATATACAGCTCCCATGTCACCATATACAACATCGGGACCATCCCACTCCAAATATAGACAGATTATTGCTGCCACCTTGGCAAAGCAGCCCTTGGAGCTTTCAAGATCAGAACCATTTTGCCTGGGAATAACAAAGCCTGGCTGGAAGAAGGGCATTTTGCCCTCCTTACTGAAAGTAATTTCCTCTGATGAGTAAAAGTTAGGGTAATAACTTTGAAAAAAGTAATAGTTTTGTGCTTTAGTGAACTTTTAAAATTGCATATCTTTTTAATTATTGAACCTTTCCCGAAGAAAACATTTCTGAAACCCATCAAACCCATTTTGAAGATGTTTACTTCACCTGGGGCAACCAATACAAATGGCAGAAAGAGTTAAGAGCACAATTCTCCAGCATCCAGCCTAATGAAACAATCACCTGTGGCTTTTCATTATAATTTTACTTTAAAATTCATTATTCTCTGCCTTCTTATTAGCTCTGAATAGTGCTATGCAAAATGAAATACCAGTCCCAATCAATCTCGCACAGGAGCCAGCACCATCTCAATATAGCCATTCAATACCCTTAATAAAAAAGGTTTAACAAAATTACCAAGCTCAAAAGATCATTGACCACATCTTGACTATAACAAGAAACTAATGAAAAACCATGTGGGCGAGCTGACAACAATGGATGTACGGGTAATAGCTGAACACATTCTCCTCTCTCGTCCACTTCTACAATTACTGCTCAGGTTAATGTGATGCAGAATTATGCTAAGTGAAAGAACAGACAAATATTTTGCCAAACAGAAAGTTATGAAGTTTCTTCACCAACTTACTGACACAAAGAACTCCGATAATAGAGATGGATGCTTCCAATCTAAAAAATATTTACTTGACATCTTGACAAGCACATCGTTGGTGCTGATAAATTCAAACCACATCACTTAAAATACAACGGAATTGGAATTGTATTACTCCAACATTTTTGAAATTTAAAACCCATCTTGAGCAGTCCTGAACATAAAAAGGGTAATAAGTCTAATATGAAGGTTCCCTGCCCCTGCATAGGGGTAGTTTATGTATGTGGCAGTGGAGAGGGCATCCCAGGTTTGTACTCCCTGCCATAGTGCTTGGGTGATGGGGTGCAGGGCAGCAGGAGCTGACTGCTTCCAGCAAGCCTGACACAAAGTCAGTGAAGGACATAAATGATGGTAGAGGATTCTTCTGGGTGTTGTGTTGTGCTGTGCTTCAGACAAAGTTTCTACTTAACTGGATACGGTGCAAAGGGGGTTTTAGAATCATAGAATCCCAGCCTGGTTTGGGATGAAAGGACCTTAAAGTTCCTCCAGCTCCAACCCCTGCCACGGGCAGGGACCCCTTCCACTAGAGCAGCTTGCTCCAAGCCCCTGTGTCCAAGCTGGCCTTGAACGCTGCCAGGGATGGGGCAGCCACAGCTTCTCTGGGCACCCTGTGCCAGCGCCTCAGCACCCTCCCAGGGAAGAGCTTCTGCCTAAGAGCTCATCTCAGTCTCGGATTAAAGCCGTTCCCCTTGGCCTGTCCCTACTCGCCCTTATAAAAAATATTTCCCCAGTATATTTAACAGATATAAAGCAGAATTACGGAAAGCTGCAGAAATAACTGTACAGTGAAGACTGCTGAACTAAACTGGTTTCAGCAATGTCTGACTTTTAGTAAACATGGACTTTGCTACATTGACCTGGGTTAGGAAAGTGTGCAAGAGCCATAGCGATGTATCTGTGGGTTTGAGTCCATCTGCTTAAGACCCCAAATCTGCTTTCTTAGGAGACAGGCACAACGAAGGTCCTGGCTGATGTCCCATTGCATGGGGGGCCTGGAAGAGCCTGCCAGGGCAGAGCTGAGCTGCTGGCGATGGCCCTGGCCGAGGAGGGCTGCTCATGCTTCGAGTAAGGAGAAAGAGGAAGGCAGCACACCAGAATGTTCCTGGCTGTCTACACCCATGATACTCGCTATGAAATAAGGTTGTACTCCTGCATAAAGCAAAGCAGGTTTTAGAAGGAGAAAAAGGAATTGTGTTAAGAGGCTCAGAAAAACTAAAGAATTATCAAGAATTCCTCAATTCTGTGTTTTAATGACTGTTTTATAAGGATTCGATTTCGCAGTCTTTAATTTTGTCTGAATCTTTATGTTCTGAGAAATTACATCCTGCGTCTCATGTCTAATTAGCAGCTTTGCTTCAAGTGCATTGTACAGCGATGACAAAAGTTATTTTTCTGGCTACCCTACTGCAGACTCTTTTCCTTCTGAATTTAGGAGTCAATCTGTCTTGTTGCCATGGCTTCCTGTAAAGGAGAAGGTTCCTCTTGCTGCAGAATAACAACATTCTTTACAACAATGAAGTAAATTAATATACTCTATGAGTACAATAATTAATTAAAAGGCAAAATACCATACCCAAACCAGCAGGGATTTTACTAGGATCATGTCTCTTTTGGGAACATTGGATTTAGACTTAATTGTAGGTGCTTAAGGTAGCATAAAATCACAGCCTCATAGCATCACTGAGGCTGGGAGTGAAGGTGGTAATATCATGCATAATTCTTGCAAAAATCTCATTTTTGAAATCCATTATTAGGTTAAGGATTGGGGGAGGTGGATATATTCCTGATTTCAAGTTCTAAACCTCTCTGCAAATCTTTATTCATTAAACTGTTCAGGTCTATGGAGGGAAAACAAAACCAGCTGGTTTTCCTATAAGCACACTAGGCTGGTTCATCAAAATTAAAATACATTAATGACTTCTTAGTGGCACTGGGAGGCAGAGGTGTGTAGGGAACAGTGGTCGTATCCTGGTATCTGCACTTCATTTTGCTGGGACCTCAATCCCTCAAGATCAGGACTGCTCAAATTTTCAAGGGTGGAAAAACCTGTGCTAGTGTAATGGGAAATGGTGATATTGTGTGTCACTGCTGTGACTTCAGTGCAGAATTCTCCTTCAGCAGAATCTTTAAGATTTGTTTCATAAAGCAGAGGAAAATCAATGTGTCTACACTACCTCTTAGCCTGCCCTTTACAGCACTGGTGCTGTCCAGATTGCTGTGTCAGGATCCTTGTTGTTATCACAGAATGGTTTGTGTTGGAAAAGACCTGAAGATCATCCAGTTCCAACCCCCTCACACTAAACAGTGTCACCTAAGGCTCTGTCCAACCTGGCCTTGAACACTGCCAGGGATAGCAGTAACACTCCTCTGGTGTAGTGGGTGCGAGCCAAAAGCATCTCGCTATTTTAAAGCAGAGCTTTAATTCAAGATGGGATCAAAAAATACAAACAGGAGCATGCTGGGCATAGGGGTAGTGACATAGCATCACTGGCTGCTAAACATACATGGGAAACTGGTAACTCCTGTCAAGGTCTACTGATGCCTAAAACCACTGACCAAGGTAGTCCTTACACCCGACTGACCACATGGTGAATGCCTGGGGATGCTGCCAGAGATGTCATCATAGAAAGCAGAACTTCACAGCGATGGTTTGTGATGAACCTGGAATGAGAATCATAGGATGGCTAGGGGTGGAAGGGACCTTAAAGACCATTTAGTTCCAACTCTATCCTGATGTTTTAGAGGTGCTGCCAGGCACTTGAAATGTGCAGAAGTCATGGAGCTAGCTTTAGGAGAAGGGCTGGTGCACTGAAGGACCAGCGGCAGCTGCCCTCTGGGGTCAAGGCTGAATCCCTAACTCAGGCAGCTTTAAGAAGAAAATAGGGGAAGGCTGGGAGAAGCTGAAGGTCAATCTCTGCAACTGTGCATAGGAGGAGAAAGAAAACAAAGTGATCACAGACAGGACAGCAAGTAAAGACAGATTAAGTGCGTGGAAGAAGTAGTAGTGCCGCTGAGAACAGCAGTCAGCTAAGTGATGCTGGCAGGAGGGGTGTACAAATCACAGCCTGACACTGAGCGTGGCCAGGGAGGAATAACACAACTGCCTGTAAGCAATGCAAAGAGCTCTGGATGGAGTTGACTGCAACCAAAGGCAGCAGTGCAGGGTGGCAGCGACGGCTGAAGCCATGGTGGAAGAGGGAAGGGAGCACTCCAAGAGACTGCTGCATCCTATGCTGGTGCTGGAATGGAGTACAAAGAAGAAAGAGAAGATAACATGGGTAAAACAAACTGTCTGGCTTAACATTACTTTGATAAAGGCAGAGAAAAGTGTTCTTGGGATAACACAAGGAAATCTATTTATCTGGAAAGTCAGATTTTGATAGCGAAAACCAGAGAGATTTTAAGCAGAAAAATACTACAGGTCCTGGCGTAGCGGCCTGACTTGGTGGAGGTGAAGGAGGGGAAATGGGGGATAAGGTGATCACAAAGATGCTGCGAGGGCTGGAGCAGCTCTGCTCTGGAGCCAGGCTGAGAGAGCTGGGCTGGGGCAGCCTGGAGAAGAGAAGGCTCCTGAAGGGGAGACCTGAGAGCAGCTCCAGTGCCTGAAGGGGCTGCAGGAAACCTGGAGAGGGGCTTGGGACAAGGGATGTAGGGACAGGCCAAGGGGAATGGCTTGAACCTGCCAGAGGGGAGACTGAGCTGAGCTCTTAGGCAGAAGCTCTTCCCTGGGAGGGTGCTGAGGCGCTGGCACAGGGTGCCCAGAGAAGCTGTGGCTGCCCCATCCCTGGCAGTGTTCAAGGCCAGGTTG